CAACAGATGGAAACTCATCAAGGAGAGAAGCAACCTGGAACTAAGGAGAAATTTCCTACCATTGAGAACAATTAACCAGTGGAACAGCTTGCCACCAGAAATTGGTGCTCCAACACTGGATTCTTTTAAGAACAGATTGGACAGCCATTTGTCTGAAGTGGTGGTATAAAGTCTCCTACCTGAGCAGGGGGTTGGACTAGAAGACCTCCAAGGTCCCTTCCAACTCTTTATCTAGATTTTCTATTCAAACTGTCTGGAGTTGTCAAATGCTTTGCTGAAGTCAAAGATGTATTACCTCTCCAGAATACCCCCAATCTACTAAGGATTATAGAATCTACCACTATTACTACACTCTACTACTAATTGTTCAGAACAGTGGAGGAATTTAGTCTGGCAAGACTTGTTCTTGACAAATCCACAACGGCACCCGATAATTAGTGTCATTTTGAAAAGGGTTACAGTGCTCTTTATGCGCTGCTCTCTGCAACCTTTCCTGGTAATTGACGTCAGACTGGATTGCAGTTCCTCTGTTTTGTGTACATGCGGGTGTTTTGTGTATGGGTGGAGAACGGGATATTTGTCCTAGAGACGTTGTAGGCTTGTCACCTTTTTTCCAGATAAGGTGAGCTGTTTCACAACCTTAGCAACTACAAGAGTCCGCATTTATCCAGCTTGCTACTCAAGAGAGCCTGGCGTCCTCAAAACGTTTCGCTTGAAATCAAGATATATTTACCTTTCCAGCCTCTCCAGTCTACTAAGGCAATTGTTCAGAAGATTGGAGGAAGTTAGTCTGGCAAATGGACTGGGGAATTCTGGGAGTTGAAGTCCACACATCTTGAAAGCTGCTGAGTTTGAGAAACAGGAAAGTTGACAAATCCGCATGGCCCTTCCGGGCTGGTGGATAGAAATTTCATGTGGTCCTGAAGCTTAAAAGTTAAAAGCCGAGAGTCATCTACCCTTGCTGAGGCCTTGCCAAGGATAACAACCCAGTGAAATACAGCTAGTCCCTCACACATGACCATTAATTGACTTCCCCATTTCTGTGGCTAAGAGAGACATTTGTTGAGTGAGTTTACACCCTTCCTTGTTGTTAAGTGAATCACTGCAGTTGCTCAGTTAGTAACACGGTGGTTAAGTGATTCTGACTTCCTCATTGATTTTGGCTTCTCAGTAGACAATCACATGACCCCATGGGACACTGCAACCGTCATAAATACCAGTCAGTTGCCAAGCATTTTTATTTTGATCACAAGACCACGGCGAAGCTGCGACGGTCGTAAGTGTGAGGAACGGTCAACGGTCCCTTTTTTTCCCAATGGTTTTTGCAACTCCAAACGGTCACTAAGCAAACTCTTGTAAGTTGGGGACCACCTCTATCAAGGGGCTATTTGGCATTTGGTATCACGACACGCCTTTTTTTTCCAAACGTAAAATTTTATTAAGAAATCAAAATATTAACAAATCTGGTTGTATTCGTACATGCGGCTTCGTCACATCATAGCAACACAGATCTTGTCTCTCACACACACATACACCCCGGGTGTACCTGCCATAAATAATATTCCCCTATGTTGCAGGTACCTATAAATTTAAAAAGAAAAAGAAAGAAAAAAAGAACAAAGGTGTGGATTTTCTCAAAAATAGAGATCCGTGCAGAAATCTTCTGCTAAGTCTGAAAATGGGAGTGGCCTTCCCTCCCCCCTTCTCGTGGGGAGGGGAAATCACAAATTAAAATTTCACAATTCTGCACGTTAACTGGTCCAAAGTACACGGAACGTCTTTTTCTTACAGGCCAGACCTGCTATCGGATTGTTTGAACAATTAATCTCCCCAGAGAAGAATATCGTATTCAACGCACAATCCAATATTGAGATTGGATGCTAAAAATGGCGCCACGTCATGGGTTTTTTTTTTTTTTTTTTGCACACAACTGTGTAAGCACCCGTGGCTCTTTCACACTCGCGAGACTCACGGTCTTCGCACGCCGCTCACAATCGTGCATGTCGGCTCCACCCCAAACGGTCATTAAAGTTGCTTTGCGGTCATTAAAGTTGGGGGGGGGGCGTCAAAGCATTCCCTCATCCAATGGCCCGCTTCAAAAATGACCTGCATTTGGGGTTTTTTGGGGTGTGTGTGTTGTGTGTATGTGTCTGAAATACAAAAGTTGGGCTTTAAAGCAGGGGTGTCCCACCTTGGCACCTTTTAAGATTTGTGGACTTCAACTCCACAGTTCCTGAATTATCGCCGGCTGCTGTAGCTCCGTGAGACCCCCTCCAAGGGACACAAGCCAACATCATAATGCAACCCCCAAGAGAAGTTAGAGATCCTGATTGCTCAGCTTCTAGCCAGGCCTGCAGCGGAGCACTGGACTCCACTGCTAAAAGATGTGTCTTGAGCATGTACGAAGTTCTCCCCATCTCTGGGCCCAGAGGGTGACATGTCTTGACGGAAGTAGTTTTCTGGAGGACAAGAAAGGAGAGAACGGAGACAAATGGACACCGGCAGAAAGGATGGCCTTGGGGAGTCCTTTACGCCCCGGGGCAGGGAAGAGGGAGAATTAAAGATTGCAAAGGGATCCAGAGGTTGCCTAAGATCACCCCTTCCCCATCCTCAGCTTTGAAACCCCCCCCCCCAATACCACAACTGAACCCCAAGCTCAGTTGCAGCCGGTTTCCAGCAATGTCCTGGTTAAGAGGGGAGGGTGGGTGTCATTTGATCCTTGCACAGAGCTCCCCCACCACCCCAATTTTGCAATTCCAGCAAGGCCACTCCTTGGACCCTCCCCATCCACCCATTTTTGCAATGCCTCCAAGGTCATTCCTATGATATACACACACACACACACACACACACACACACACACCACCTCCACCACCAATCCATCTCCTGGCCAGCATCTGTCTGGATCTGCTGCATTTCAGAAGCCCCTTTTGCAAGACCGGGAAACGCCCAGAATTTCAAACCACACCTCAGCCATGAAACTTGGCTTTGTAACTTAGGCAATAAAGTCCCTCTTTGTGCCTAGGGTTCTCCGTCAAACAGCGCGGCCTGGCCCCCGTTTGAAGAGTCAGGCCCGGGAGAGGAAGTATTTATCAGCTTTCATCCATCACTTGGGTGGCAGCCTCTCAAGGTTTATTTGCAGGAGGGGTGGTGGTGGAAGAGACTGGAGGGTCCAAACTGTTTGTTCTGAAGTGGGACAGCTCTGTTTGGGTATGTGGGCCTCTACCACAACCTTCTCTGAGAAGCCAAGCCCAGGGTTGGGTTCAACTACAAATGCCGTCAGTCTGCATTTGGCATAGCTGAGAACTCCGCCATGGTCAAACACGCAGAATGGCCTCGCAAGAGGAGATCCACCACTCTCTGCCGTGTTGGTTTTACTGGTGCCCGGCTGTATTTTGTACTTTACGTGTCATTGTATCTTGCAGGAGTAGGCTCCTAATCCAATGGGGTCTAGGACAATTCACTCTGGCCAACTCATCAGGGTGAACTTGTCACAGCCAACTCATCACGGTCAACTCGTCATGGCCATCACGGCCAACTCATCACAGCCAACTCGTCACGGCCAACTCGCCATGGTCAACTCGCCATGGCCAACTCATCATGGCCAACTCGCCACGGCCAACTTGCCACAGCCAACTCATCATGGCCAACTCATCACAGCCAAGTCACCATGTCCAAGTCACCATGACCAACTCATCACAGCCAACTCACCATGGTCAATTCACCATGGCCAACTTGCCATGGCCAACTCATCACAGCCAACTCACCATGGCCAACTCGCCATGGGCCAACTTGCTGCGGGACAATTAACAAAATAAATATTTTAATTTTTATCATTCATGTCATCCGTTCTTTAACGATTTCATCGTTCACTTTTGCATCCTTGCTTTAATGGTTCCATTCCACCGTTTCTTCAATATTGTAGTGGAACACTTAGCCCGTGGCGAATTGCCTGTGGCAAGTTGGCCATGATGAGTTGCCCGTAGCAAGTTGGCCATGACGAGTTGACCGTGGCGAACTGCCACAGACCCCCATTGGACTAGGAGCCACTCCTGCAAGATACAATGACACGTAAAGTACAACGTTCAGCCAGGCACCAGTAAAACCCAACCCTGCAGAGTGTCGTGGGTCTCCTCTCGCAAGGTCTGGAGGAGGAGCCAACCATGGAGAAGATCAAGGCCATCAACCCTCTTTCGGAGTTACTCTCCTCGTGTTCATCTCCATGGGTATGCACTCCTAGACTTGCCTCCAGTCTCTGCTTTCCCAACCCTCATGGAGATTCAAAGGGAGAACCTTTTGAGAAGGTGGGAAATAGGAAGTCTTCAGCAGAGAGGTTGAAGAGCTTGTCCACTTAAGCTTCTCCTTGCCACTCATTGGGAGAATTTGCCTGGCTGAAAGGTAGACGGGGAGGCAGTGATCCATGCAACCTGAGGTTCTCCAGATGTTGCCCAACAGTGAGGACCTCTGAGAGCTCAATGTCTGAAGTTCTCCTTTCCTTGATAGACCTATGCCCGTGCATAGGCCGAAACATCTACACAGGCTTTGATGAGTATGTTGGCACCACAACTCTGCTAGGTAGGACACAACCATGTTCACCTTTTCAGCCAGCCAACCAAACCCTGGTCCTCCCTTTCTGATGGTAACAGAAGGTTCTCCATTGCCGTGAGAAGGCAAAGTTAATCTTCTTCACAAGGAGCCTCTTAGCCATGTGTGCCTTGAACAAATGTGTATCACATTGCCAAATCCGAACCCACAATTGGTGATCTCCCATCTACGACGGCTCTCATCCCAACTGTATTCCTGCGTCTACCAAATTTGTGGGCAACTCCAGCCCAAGAAGAGGACAACAAGTGGTCCTCAGAAAGAGATAGACTAGGCCAGGGGTCTTCAAACTTGGCCCTTTTATGACTCGTGGACTTTAACTCCCAGAATTCCTCAGCCAGGCACGCTGGCTGAGGAATTCTGGGAGTTGAAGTCCACAAGTCATAAAAGGGCCAAGTTTGAAGACCCCTGCTTGTGGACTTCCAACTCCCAGAATTCCTCAGCCAGGCACGCTGGCTGAGGAATTCTGGGAGTTGAAGTCCACAAGTCATAAAAGGGCCAAGGTTGCCTACCCCTGGACTAGGGGTCCCAATCCCTGGGCCACAGCCAGGTACTGGGCTGTGACCTGTATAGACCTGTGCTGTGCAAGCAGCGGACAAGCGTTCTTGTGCTCGCACAGCTCCCTTTGTATGAGCGGCGGACGGTTGTGCTCGCACCGCCCAGTTTGTGCGAGTGACATGTGTACGCACACTTGCCGCTTGCGCAAATGGAGCTGCACACGTGGAACCACCTCTCTCACCCCCTCCCGCTGCCACTGATCCACAAAGCCGGGAAAGTTGAGGACCACTAATTGCATAGATTGCAATTAGGTAGTTTTAAGTTTGCAGAGATTTGAGTGACAGTTGCTCTGCTAAGTGGAGTGGGGGGTATAAGCTGGTAGGGTGGATACTCCCCCCCCCCCAAAAAAATCTTCTCTACTCAAAGAAGCAAATCTACACAACACACTATCCGGGGATGACTCCATAACACACGTCGGGATCTTATTGATCTCTTTTTTTTTCTTCTCCTAAACAGATTTTTTTTTTTTAAATTCAGCTTTGAAAATGCACCCATTATCTTCACACCCTCACACATACGCACAAACACACACACACCCTCACAAAGCTAGAAGTAAATGTCTTAGCTTTAGGACCAGCCTCCAGCTGTCAAGCACATCACAAAAAAAGAGCGCCATTAAAGGAAGGTGTAAGCTACTCCACTGTCCAACGTGGGGTAAAACATCCTTCATCTGGCCGATTCCCCATCAATTCAAGTTTTTTTTTTTTTCGTATCCTTCAAAAGCCCCACAGGGGAACAAATAATATATGGCACCCCCGCGAAAAAAAAGACTGCTATTTTCCAATTGTTTCAACAAACCCCTTCCCTCCTCCTCTCCCATTGGTCAATGTCGCCCTGCTTTCAACTTCATTAGAAGAAGGGAGAAAAAAATCGGATAATTCCCCCCCCCCCAGGATCTTTGGGGTCTCTGACGATCTTCTTCCTTGACCAAAATTGGAGGCGCTAAAGGATGTTGGCTTTCTGGGAGCAGGACAAATGTTTATGAACCAAATCCCACATGTTGAGCAGGTCAGGCGGCTGAAGTTTATGGACCACCAACATGCTTTTGTAGAAACACGGTTCCCGGTTCATTTTGCTGTTCTTGTTCTTCACCAGGCCGAAGGTTTTGAAGCCAGTGTGAGCCACGGGGGCCACCTTGAGGTCCTCGAGACACATCCCCAGGTAGACGTCGTCGATGGGGTACAGCTCCCGGTTTTCGGAGGCTTTGTGGAGACGCTTGGCCAAGGGGCCGTCCATCACGAAGCCCCCTCCGCCCGCGTAGGGCGGGTAGTATGTCTTGCTGTACAAAGAGTCAGGGATGTAGTACTTGTTCTCCTTCTTGCGAATGGGCTTCGCCTTGACTAGGACATCGCCCACAAAGAGGTCCCCTCCTTTCTGATCCTTGAGGAACTCCAAGATGTTCTCGGGACTCACGAAGACATCGTCGTCCCCCTTGAAGATGTACCGGACGTGGTGGCAGTAGATGTTGAACCACTTGAGGAAATGAACTTCCTTCAAGGTGAGGTTGAAAAAGGTATCCAGGAAGTCCCACTGCAGGATGTCGCCGTAGATCCGATCCTCGTACTCCAAAAGCTTCTGGTAGTTGGGACGCTCTTCTTCTTTGGAGGCCACGCCCAGGAGGAAGAGGGTCTTGATTTTTTTCCCATCCAGCACTCGCTCTTGACCCCACGTCCGACGGATAGCTTCCCGGCGATCGTGCTGCGTTATGACAGACTTCACCACCACGAGCAGGTCAATCTCGCTGCTGCACTTCTCCGGGTGGTTGATGAGGATGGGGAAGTAGCGACAGTGACGGTAGAAGAGAAACTGCTGGAAATGGGGCTCCAGGCTTTTGAACCAATCCTCCCTGGTGAAGTTGAGGTTGGCCGTGCAGTTGGTGGCCGCGACGTCCCAGGATGTCACCACCTTCTCGGTGGCTTTGACGGCGGGCGGAGGGACGTCCACCGCCTTTTTCCAGAAATTGTTGGTGAGGGACATCACCTCACCCCTCTTCTGAGTTTTGATGGTTTCCTCTTGGGAGGAAACAGATTTCTGAGGCTGGCTCTGAAAGAACTGGTTGGGAATGTTGCCCTTTTGCAACAGCATCATCGTTACTACTAGCGCAAAGGAGAGAAGGACACTTTTGTAGATGGTCTTCTTCCTGGGGTGAGGAAAACAAGAGAGGAAAGAATTGAGGTAAACATCTACCCAAATGTTCTTGCAAAGGTACAATCCTAGCGCTGGAAGGGATCTCTGCTCAACCCTCTGCTCAAGGCAGGAGGCCTTATACCAGGAGTAGGCAACCTTGGCTCTTTTATGACTAGTGGACTTCAACTCCCAGAATTCCTGAGCCAGCATGGGGGAACTATGGCCCCCTCATGACTGGTGGACTTCAACTCCCAGAATTCCTCAGCCAGCATGGGGGAACTATGGCCCCTTCATGACTGGTGGACTTCAACTCCCAGAATTCCTGAGCCAGCATGGGGGAACTATGGCCCCCTCATGACTCACGGACTTCAACTCCCAGAATTCCTCAGCCAGCATGGGGGAACTATGGCCCCCTCACGACTCGTGGACTTCAACTCCCAGAATTCCTGAGCCAGCATGGGGGAACTATGGCCCCTTCATGACTGGTGGACTTCAACTCCCAGAATTCCTCAACCAACATGGCTCAGCTTGGAAACCTCTCCCTTTCCCCTCAGCATGGCAACAACGGATCAGACCCACAATCCCGACTGCAAACGTCCTCCATGCAAGACACTCAGCTAATGGCAACAACGGTCTTCGGCCTCCGAGATTTATGCTCTCCACCCAGCTGGCACCTTGCCCCAGCCAGTCCAATTTCCTCCCGGATCCCATCAATCGCAAAGGGGGACAAAGGACAGTCAGGCTTCTGTTTGCAGGCTGGGACTTTTCCGCAAATAGAGGGAGGCCTGTTTCCTAGCTGGCAGCCCCCCACCATGCCGGGCAAGAGAAGGAAAAAAGGCAGGGAAAGGGTGTGTTTTTTTCAGCCGTGGGCTCCAGATTGCGCAGGGAAGATTAGCAACGCAAGCGTGCCCACCTAGCCAAGTGCCTTTCCCCCTTTCATTCCGGTAAACACTCATACAGCTGGAAGGGGGCCTTGGAGATCTTCTAATCCAACCCCCAGCTGGAGAATTCTGAAATATGAAAGTCCACACATCTTAAAAGTGGCTGAGAAATATGGCCTTAGAGCGGGGGGGGGTGTCTTCAAACTTGGCCCTTTTATGACTTGCGGGCTTCCAACTCCCAGAATTCTCCAGCAAGAATTCATTTACTCTCTTGTAATCCCTTCCTCTGCAATCTCTCGGCTTTAGTAGGAGGAAAAAAAACCAACAACCTAGGCATGGCTGGCTGAGGAATTCTGGGAGTTGAAGTCCAGGGGGGTCTCTTCAAACTTGGCCCTTTGATGACTTGTGGACTTCAACTCCCAGAATTCCTCAGCCAGCCTCCATTTTGTTTGTTAGATTTAAGACAGGGGTTTTCAAACTTGGCCCTTTTATGACTTGTGGACTTCAACTCCCAGAATTCCTCAGCCAGCCTCCATTTTGTTTGTTAGATTTAAGACAGGGGTCTTCAGACTTGGCCCTTTGATGACTTGTGGACTTCAACTCCCAGAATTCCTCAGCCAGCCATGCCTGGGTGGTGGTTTTTTTCCTCCCACTAAAGCGGAGAGATTGCAGAGGAAGGGATTACAAGAGAGTAAACAAATTCTTGCTGGAGAATTCTGGGAGTTGAAGCCCATAAGTCATAAAAGGGCCAAGTTTGAAGACACACACCCCCCGCCTTATCCGTGGTTGAGATGCATTGTAAGTTTTGGAGAACTTTCTTGAGGCCTCTAAAAATATCAGACGAGCATCTCCAACTCGTAATTTAATGGCCCAACGTCTCCATTTTTCCTAACAAAAATATGGAGTTGATTAGAAGCCTAATATAGAAGATGGACACCACCCAGCAGGGTGCAGGGATCTGACCGTAAAGACGGAGCTCAAATTACAGGGAGTTCTCGACTTACGACGGCAATTGAGGCCAAATGTTTTGTTGTTAAGTCCGACATTTGTTAAGTGAGTTTTGCCCCGTTTTACGACCTTTCTTCCCACACTTGTTAAGTGAATCACTGCAGTGGATAAGTCAGTAAAACGGTTGTTAAGTGGATCTGGGTTCTCCCGTTGACTTTCCCCGTCAGAAAGTGGCAAAAAGGGGAACAGACTTTGCCTTCTCAATTATTTCCAAATTTGTGGGTCTTCTAGATAAATTTCACCGCCATCATCTTTGAAGGGGTGCTGATCATTTCACTTGCCAGGTTGTAAAAAGATTTAGGGGGTGCTAACCCTTCCTAATAGAATAGAGTAGAGTAGAGTAGAGTAGAGTAGAGTAGAGTAGAGTAGAGTAGAAAGACAATAGAATGAAATATAGAAAGAATAGAATAGAATAGAATAGAATAGAATATGGAATGGAATGGAATGGAATAGAACAGTGGTTCTCAACCTGTGGGTCGGGACCCCATTTGGGGTCGAACGACCATTTCACGGGGGTTGCCAAACAACGCAGTCCGCCATTTTTTTCCCCTTTTCCTTAGCTGTGCTACTCCATTTTATTCTATTGGCTTTTGAAAGCCAATAGAATAGACTCTCTTGAATAGAGTCTAATTCTATTGGCTTTCAAAAGCCAATAGGAATTGTCCAGGCTGTCTCTGCCCGGCTGAGCCCGCCAAAAGTCCCATTCTGCAAACGGTGCTGCACCAGTTGAGTAATCCTCGACTTACGACCGGTTGAGTAGTCCTCGACTTACGACCGGTTGGGTTTGTGGCATTAAAAAGGTTGAGAACCACTGGAATAGTAGGAATGAAGAATAGAATAGAATGGAATGGAATGGAACGGAACAGAATAGAGCTGGAAGGGGCCTTGGAGGTCTTCTAGTCCAGCCCCGTGCTCAAGCAGGAGGTCCAAACCTTTTTTTACGGAATCAATAATTGTGCAAAGCTTTGTTCTGCCAACCGATTCTTCCAGTAACAATTTATTTTCTTTTACTTATCTGTTTAAAAACCCCAATAAAAGACACTTGGCACATCATGGGAAAGGATTGTGGAAGTCTCTTTCCATCCTTAATTACAGATTGTCATCGTTTTTGTACCAAGAAATAAAAGGAAATTAAGATACAGGTGCGGTATCTTTGTGGAGAGAAACTGAGATAAGGAATGCAGGTCCAGAGGGACACCAGTCTCGTAGGTCATAAAGTAGATTAAGCAGACCCGACATAAAGTAGATTAGAGTTCATTATATTACAGTCACGGTTGCAAAGTTAGCAAAGAGATTCAAGGAAATAAATCCAGGGGAAGCCCCGAAGAAGACTGTTGCAAAGTCAGAAAAAAATGCAATTAAAAAAAAAAAAAAGCTGACCAATCAAACATCATCATCATCATCATCATCAAGTTGGAAGGGACCTTGGAGGGATTGTCCATTAGGACTCCGAGGTCCCTCTCACAATTGCTACTATAAAGTTGGAAGATACCTGGAGATCATCTAACCCAGGGGTTCTCAACATTGGCAACTTTAAGAGTTGTGGACTTCAACTCCCAGAATTCCTGGGAGTCCACCAGTCATGAGAGGGCCATAGTTCCCCCATGCTGGCTCAGGAATTCTGGGAGTTGAAGTCCATGAGTCATGAGGATGCCATATTTCCCCCATGCTGGCTGAGGAATTCTGGGAGTTGAAGTCCATGAGTCATGAGGATGCCATAGTTCTCCCATGCTGGCTGAGGAATTCTGGGAGTTGAAGTCCATGAGTCATGAAGGAGCCATAGTTCCCCCATGCTGGCTCAGGAATTCTGGGAGTTGAAGTCCACAAGTCTTAAAGTTGCCAAGGTTGAGAACCCCTGACCCCCCTGCTCAGGCAGGAAGTTAGTATTAGTTTGTGACTGCTGGGTGTTTTGACACACAGCGCAAGGGGGGGGCAACACTTACAATGGCTGGAAGTGCATTATCAATTCTAAAGTAACCTTTCCGAGGTCATCATCAAACGGCCGGTCAAGGACTAGCGCTACAATAGCCTCTCTTAATGACTTGCCTCTTTTCATGTAGTCCTTGACTTACAACGGTCCATTTAGTGACCGTTCGAAGTTACAACAGCACTGAAAAAAGTGACCTAGGACCATTTTTCTCACTTACGACCGCGTTCACGTGATCAAAATTTGGGGTTCATATTTATGACAGGTTGCAGCACCCCGGGGGTCACGCGATCCCCTTTTGCGACCGTCTGACATACAAAGCCAGATGAAGCCAGGTAAATTTAACATCTGGAGGGGTGTCCATCAGCTGGGATAACAGAAGTATACAAACACTTAATTTTTCCCCCTATTGATTTAGTTGCCTTATTTAGCCTGCGGCAGCAGCCAAAAGAGCCAAGACAATCCTGGGTTATATAAACAGAGGCATAGAATCAAGATCATGCAAAGTATTAATACCACTTTATAAAGTCCTAATGAGGCCACACCTGGAATACTGCAGCCAATTTTGGTCACCATATCACAAAAAACATGTTGTGAGTTTGGAAAAAATTCAGATGAGAGCCACTAAGATGATCAAAAGTCTGGAGACTAAAACATACAAGGAACGGTTGCGGGATTTGGGTATGGCTAGTCTAGAGAAAGGAAGGACTGGGGGTAACATGATAGCAGTCTTCTAATATTTGGGGGGCTGCCCCAGAGAAGAGGGGGTCCACCTATTCTCCAAAGCCCCTGAAGGCAGGACAAGAAGCAACGGATGGAAACTAATCAAGGAGAGAAGCAACTGGAATGAAGGAGAAACTTCCTAACAATGAGGATAATTAACCGGTCGAACCGCATGCCTCCAGAAATTGTGGGGGGTCAAACCCTGGAGGTTTTTAAGGAGAGGTTCCATAGCCATTTGTCTGAAATCGTATAGGTCTCTTGCTTGAGCAGGGGGTTGGACTAGAAGACCTCCAAGGTCCCTTCCACTTCTATTCTATATTATATTTATTTGTTCCTTCACCAGCTCATCAATTTCCTACGGAAACCATGATGACGTGGCTTGATTCCTTCTGTCTTATTAGCACAGGGAGACTTCTGATTGTGTAGAGCAGGGGTCCCCAACCTTGACCACTTTAAGACCTGTGGATTTTAACT